GTAAAAAATAAAACAAATATATTGACGCCATATGTACTTTATATGTCTCAATTTACGTGATATTTTTTATTTATAAAGAGTCAATTTAACTAATCTTCGAGCCTAGTGTATTAAATGGTAGTGCGTACCCTAACAAAACAATCATGAAAGTGCATTCTTAACAAAGGGGCAGCCAAAGTAGGAGCAATAGAAATGTAGTGTTTTGTTGTTTCTTTGACAATTGCTTCCACATTTGGACATGTTTTCTTGTAGAATCCTACTTCTACACCTTCACAATTATTAGTAATCAAAAAGAGTTGAAGAATGAGAAATGAAAGAAATTTTAATGTTGCCATTAATTTCTTTTTTCTCAACTAAATGTTTATGTTGTTATTTGCTTGAAAGGGATGATTTGAGAACAAAAACTCATGGACTTTAAATAAGAATTAAGTAGATGGTGATGCATATCAATTTTTTGATTTGCTTGAAGGGTAGATATGACATAATTGAAAGTTGATTTTATTATTTAGTAGTTAGCACCTTCTTAACTAAGCAATTTTTAATGTTTTTGTTAACAATATAAGAATAAGATTAAGAGGAATATCGATTAGTAATGTTGAGATTAGTTATATTTGATTAGTTATGGTATTCATTGTTTGATTTGATATAGTAAAGTACTGTCTTTAACCATGTTTACTCATGTAGTGATACTTTATATCTCATTTTATTACTTTGCGATCGCGTATACCAAATGAAACTTACTAATATTAAATTGAAAATCAATTTGGTATAACTATTGCTAATTTTTTTTCTCTAAGTTTATTAATGTCAAATGCATTAGGGGAATCTACAACCCACTCCCTTATTTTTCTCCTGCAAACTAAGATATACTAATCATATACCTGTGTATCATTGCTTTTATACACTCTTCAATACTTAATCAGGATTTTATAATATTCCAAATTTTCATTACAGTAGAATCTCACATCGATTAAATATATGAATTGTACTTTTCTTATATGATTTCAAAAAATCCTTCTCACTCGAGCTTATTATAGGAAAATTTAAAATCTTAATGTTTCGAAATGGTATTCGAGCTAGTTTTGAGCGTGTCAGAATCATGCATGCATCGATAGATTATGTTGTATATGAATTGTACGCGTACTATTATAATAGTCATAAGGAAATACAACTCGCATGAGTTAAAAAGCTGGAATGATAAGATTATGACTAACTAATAATAGATTAAGTCAACAATACATTGAAATACAAATTAATTATTATGAAATAAAAGAGTAAGTAGTTTAGGTATATTAAGTTTATATGGAATCATGGATAGAGTTGATAGTTGGTATGTACGTAAACTAGTGTATAGTTGTTAGAATAGCAAAGTAGAAATAATGCATGTTATATAGTGCCTAAAATATGTGTGTTACAAAAAATGTTTGGTGCATAAAGCATATTCGCGCACAAATACGTGAAAATTATAAAATAAAATCTTAAAATATCAACAAAGACCTTTTTATTTAAAAAAAAAAGAAACAAAATTGAGGAAGTCTCTCAAGTTTTGAAGTGTGAAATCGCAGTTGAAGAGTATAAATAAAAATGGGAGAAATATTTTATCAAAGAGCATATATAATCGACAGATTGTGTAATATATAAAATTATCCAAAATCATCGTAAATATTCAAATAACTACATTGTTTATGTGATTTTTTATTTTTTTTAAAAAACTTCCTCCATCATAGGCTAGCATAGCAGACAATAACGCGAAATCCAGGAAAGGGAGGGGGAATGAATGCCAAATCTGAAGCAAATCAAAAAGCGAATTCCCGTAGAGTGAGTCTAATGCTTCCCTTTAATCTAGAGCACTCGACCTTAATCGATCCTATGCATCAAAATAATCGAAGACACCAAAATCTAACGAGTATATATAACTTAAACAAAAATTAATACATAATTAATTACCTCCTTACTAGCTAGACCAATTTACCAAATCTTCTGTTAGGACAATTTAATTAACAAATCAACCACATAATACTAGCATGATTATTTATTAATTAAAGCTCTTAGTTGTCTTTTTCCTTTTTTTTTTGTTTCTTATTATTTCTTTTCTGGTGAATCCATTTTCTATATGCTTAAAAAAAATACTTATTTTGAGCTAATTAATTAGCCTGTTAGTCCCTAATGCATTTTCTAAAGGATATCTAGACAGTAAAAGAAATAAAATTTATTATAATTATTATAAATTCACTTCCGTTGATTTAGAAAATTCATAAATCTCCTAAACTAATATTTTCACCATAAAAATACTACATTAAATATTAGCAAAAAGAACTAACATTAAAAAAAAGTTCTTAGCTTAGAAGGTGTTAAGTGTTAACTACTAAATATTTAAAATCAGCTCTCCATTACCAACTCTATCATTTTAATAAATCAAAGGATTGATATCATAATTGTTTTCCTATTTAAAGAGGTATCATTTGTATGTTCCAATCATCAAACACTTCAAGATTTTAATTTTCTCCACAAAAATTAATATAATGGCAACATTAAAATTTCTTTCATTTCTCATTCTTCAACTCTTTTTGATTACTAATAATTGTGAAGGTGTAGAAGTAGGATTCTACAAGAAAACATGTCCAAATGTGGAAGCAATTGTCAAAGAAACAACAAAACACTACATTTCTATTGCTCCTACTTTGGCTGCCCCTTTGTTAAGAATGCACTTTCATGATTGTTTTGTTAGGGTACGCACTACCATTTAATACACTAGGCTCGAAGATTAGTTAAATTGACTCTTTATAAATAAAAAATGTCACGTAAATTGAGACATATAAAGTACATATGGCGTCAATATATTTGTTTTATTTTTTAT